ACCCCAGCTTTCTTTTCATTGCCATTTGCGTGGAGTATCTTTTTCCATCTCTTCACTTTCAGTTTGTGAGTGTCTTTAGGTCTGAAGTGTGTCTCTTGTATGTAGCATACACATGGGTTTTGTTGTTTTATCCTGTCCGCCACCCCATGCCTTTTAATTGGAGCATTTAGTCCATTGACCTTTAAAGTAGCTATTCATAAGTATGTACTTACTGCCATTTTGTAACTTTTTTTCTCGGTGTTTTAGTAGCCATTCTCTGTTTCTTTCTTCTTCTCTTTCTCTCTTCCCTTGTGGTTTGATGGCTTTCTTTAATATTATGTTTGGGTTCCTTTCTCTTAGTTTTTTGTGTATTTATTATAGGTTTCTGGTTTGTGATTCTCATGGCGTCCATATACAGTAACCTACGTATACAGGAATCTATATTAAGTCGATGGTCTCTTCAGTTTGACCTCTGTCTGAAAGCTCTACTCTTTAACTTCTCTCTTCCCACATTTTATATTTTTGATATCATATCTACCTCTTTTTTGTGCATTTGTATCCATTACCCTCTTATCATGGAAATAGATATTCTTCCTATTTGTGGTCTTCTCTTTTACCCTTAAATAATTTCCTTTGGCATTTCTTATAGTACTGGTTTCTTGGTGACAAACTCCTTTAATTTTTGCTTGTCTCGGCAACTTTTTATCTCTCCTTCCATTTTGAATGATAACCTTGACGGGTAGAGTATGCTTGGCTGTAGGTTTATTTCTTTCAGCACTTTAAATATATTGTGCCACTCTCTTCTAGCCTGTAAGATTTCTGCTAAGAAGTCAGCTGATAGCCTTATGGGGTTTCCTTTGTATGTAACTTGTCTTTCTCTTGCGGCTTTTAGGATTCTCTCCTTATCTTTAATTCTGGACATTTTAATTATTATATGTCTTGGTGAGGACCTCTTTGGGTTTATCTTGTTTGGTGCTCTCTGTGCTTCCTTTACCTGGATGTCTGTTTCCTTCCTTAGGTTAGGGAAGTTTTCATCTCTTATTTCTTCAAATAGATTCTCTGCCCATTTGTCTCACTCTTCTCCTTCTGCGACACATATAACACAGAAGTTAATGTGCTTGTTGTTGTCCCAGAGGTCCCTTAAATTGTCTTCACTCCATTTAATTCTTTTTTCTTTTATCTTTTCAGCTTGGGTGATTTCTTCTAGTCTTTCATCCAGCTTGCAGATCCGTTCTTCTGTATCCTCTACTCTGCTTTTGAGTCCCTCTAGTGAATTTTTCATTTCCAGTATTGTATTCTTCATTTCTGATTGGTTCTTTTTTATATCTTCCATTTCTTTGTTGACGTTCTCACTGAGTTCATCCATTCTCCCAAGATCAGTGAGCATCCTTAACACTCTTTGTTCGAACTCTCTGTTGGGTAAGTTGCTCATTTCTGTTTCACTTAGTTCCTTTTCTGGGGTTCTGTCCTGTTCTCTTACTTGGAACATATTCCTTTGCCTCCTCATTTTGCCTCTTTCACTGGGCTTGTGTCTACGTATTAGGTAGGTCAGCTACATCTCCTGCTCTTGGAGAGGTAACCTTATATAAGTGATGCCTTATGAGGCCCACAGTATGCTTCCCTCAGTTCTGAATATTCCAGGAGTGACCCCTCTGTGGGCTACATGTGTCCTTCTGCTGTGGCAGGGTTGCTCTCCCTGTAGGTGCTGAGGGAGGCTGACCTATGCCCCTAGCCAGCTGTTGTAATGCTCAGCTGCTTGTAGTTGTGGGCTCTTCAGTGTCTTTAGCGGGTGTGGGGAGCCCCAGCACATTTGGCTCCAAGTTCTAATAGCACATTTGTGTTGCAGTATTTCTTTTAAGTGAGTAGGCCCCCAGCGTGGCAGGTTGTTAGGCTCAGGGCCTTACAGTTTCTGTAAGCCTCCAGCCTTTAGGTCTCTTGTCAGCTCTCTGAGGATTGCAGCTGGGTGGGGCTGGCCTCAGGCATGGGAACACCCAGTTGTTTCAAGCTTTGGAAGGTGGATCAAACCCCCTATGTGGGTCTTTGAGAAGCACAAGTCTTCTGCAACTGACAAGCCCCGCCACCCACAGGTCCACATGCACAGTCAACACAGTCCTTACCCGTGTGTGCACTCTGACCTCCTGAAGTGGACCCAGTCTCTTCAAGGTGGGAGTCCCAGACACTCCACCACTGCCCCATACTCTCCACTTGCTCCTTGCACACACCCTGCCCCACAGAGATGGACCCACTCGCCAGGCTGAGGAGAATCCAGGCAGCTCATTTAGCAGGCCCACAAGTTGCCCTAGGTAGGGCTTGTTGTTGGGTGGGGCCAGTCCCTGGGGTGGGCTGCCTGCCCTGGCTGAGCTGGATTAAGTTGGTGCTCTAGTGGGTAGGAAAGACCCTGGGCCAGCAGGCCCCAGGGAGAACTCCAATGGCATCTGCCAGTGTCTGTGTCAGCATGCCCACATCAGACCACAACAATGGCCACTCCCAATGTCCCAGTCCTTGGAGAGGTCTCAGCTCTCACTGAGATGCACTCAGAGCCTGTCAGGTGAGTCTCTTTTCACCAAAGCACTGTGCACCTTTCTTTCTGGTGATTTTAGGTTGTTTTCTGAAATGGATGAACTTGTGTGTGGGCCCCTTAAGAGCTGGTTTTAATTTCTTTGTGAACCAGCTTTTTTGGGGATAGTCCCCAATGTTTTAGTAGCAAGCAAAGTCAGATATTATGCCACTTGTCTTGATTATGCTGGATCCAAAAAAATGCCTACAGCGGGAGCGCTCTCTGGCTCAGGTCCCCACTCCTCCAGAGAGGGCTATGTACCTTTGGGCTGCTCCTGGGCGGCCATGAAGTGCTGCAGCTTGTGAAGCTGGCGTTTTTTCTCTCCAGAGGAGACTTTCTGCATCTTCCACCTCAATTAGGATTGTCGTTTGTTGCAGGGGTTCCTTTTATCCAGTTTTCACTTTTCTCTCAGGGGTAATTTTTCCATGAGTAGTTGTCAATTGGCTGTGTCCGTGGGAGGAGGTGAGTTCAAAGTCTGCCTATGCTGCCATCTTGACTTTGATCTGGACATTTTAACTATGTTAATGCTTCCAATCCAAGAGCACAGAATATCTTTCCATTTCTTTGTGTCTTCTTCAATTTATTTCACTAACGTTTTACAGTTTTCAGTATACAGGTCTTTCACCTCTTTGGTTAAATTTATTCCTGGATACTTTATTCTTATTTTTCTCTTTTTATTTTTTTTCCAATTATAGTATTTTATTCTTTTTGTTGCAATTGTGAATAGGATTTTATTCTTGGTTTCTCTTTTTGCCACTTCCTCGCTGGTGTATAGAAACACAACTGATTTTTTTATGTTGATTTTGTATCCCACAACTTTACTGTATTCATTTATTAATTCTACTAGGTTTTTGGTGGATGCTTTTGGGTTTTCTATATATAAAATCATGTCATCTGCAAATCCGCTTCTTCTTTTCCAATTTGGATCCCTTTTATTTCTTTTTCTTGCCTGATTGCTCTGGCTAGGACTTCCAATACTATGTTAAATAAGAGTGGTGAAAGTGGTCATACTTGTCTGGTTCCTGTTCTGAAAGAGATAACTTTTGGTTTTTCTCCATTGGGTATGATGTTAGGTGTGGGGTTGTCATATATAGCCTTTATTATTTTGAGGTACTTTCATTCTATACTCATTTTATTCAGAGTTTTTTTTTATCGTAAATGGATACTGTATCTTGTTGAATGCTTTCTCTGCATCTATTGAGATGATCACATGATTTTTATTCCTCATTTGGTTAATGTGGTGTATCACATTGATTGATTTGAGGATGTTGAACCATCCCTGCATCCCTGAATACACTCAATCGTGGTGTGTGATCTTTTTAATGTATTGTTGTATTCGATTTGCTGGTATTTTGTTGAGGATTTTTACATCGATATTCATCAGTGATATTGGCCTGTAATTTTCTTTTTTTGTGTTGTCCTTGTCTGGTTTTGCTGTCAGGGTAATGTTGGCCTTGTAGAATGAGTTAGGAAGATTCCCCTCCTCTTGAATTTTCTGAAAGAGTTTGAGAAGGATAGGTATTAAGTCTTCTTTCAATGTTTTGTACAACTCACTAAGGAAGCTGCCTGGTCCTGGACTTTTGTTTTTTGGGAGGTTTTTGATTACTGTTTCAATCTCCTTATTGGTGTTTGGTCTCTTCAAATTTTCTATTTCTTCTTGATTCAGTTTTGGAAGGTTGTATGATTCTAAGAATTTATCCATTTCTTCTAGATTATCCAATTTGTTGGTGTATAGCTTTTCATAGTATTCTCTTATAATCTTTTGTATTTCTGAGGTGTCTGTTGTAATTTCTCCTCTTTTATTTCTGATTTTATTTATTTGTATCTTCTCCCTTTTTTCCTTGGTGAATCTAGCTAAAGGTTTGTTAATTTTGTTTATCTTTTCAAAGAACCAGCTTTTAGTTTCATTGATTTTTTCTATTGTTTTTTAGTCTCTACTTCATTTATTTCTGCTCTGCTTTTTATTATTTCCTTCCTTCTAGTGATTTGGGGTTTTGTTTGTTCTTCATCTAGTTCCTGTAGATACACCATTAGATTGTTTATTTGAGATTTTTCTTGTTTGTTGAGGTAGGCCTGTATTGTTATAAACTTCCCTCTTACTACTGCTTTTGCTGTATCCCATAAATTTTGGCATGTTGTATTTTCATTTTCATTTGTCTCCAGGTATTTTTTGATTTCTCCTCACTTTCTTCATTGATCCAATAATTGTTCAGTTGCATTTTGTTTAATCTCCAAATATTTGTGGCTTTTCCAGTTTTCTTCCTGTAGTTGATTTCTAGTTTCATACCATTGTTTTCAGAAAAGATGCTTGGTATTATTTCAATCATCTTATATTTATTGAGACCTGTTTTGTGGCCTAATATGTGATCTATCTTGAAGAATGTTCCATGTGCATTCGAAAAGAATGTGTATTCCATGTTTTTCTGATGGAATGTTCTGTATATTTCTATTAAGTCCATCTGGTCTAATGTGTCATTTAAGGCCAATGTTTCGTTACTGACATTCTATTTGGATGATCTATCCATTGATGTAAGTGGAGTGTTAAATTCCCCTACTATTATTGTGTTACTGTCTATTTCTCCTTTTATGTCTGTTAATAATTGCTTTATGTATTTAGGTGCTCCTATGTTGGGTGCATAGATATGTACAAGTGTTATATCATCTTGTTGGATTGTTTCCTTTATCATTATGTAACGCCTTTCTTTGTCTCTTGTTACAGTTTTTGTCTTAATGTCTATTTTGTAGACGTTAAGTATTGCTACCTCAGCTTTCTTTTCATTGCCATTTGCATGGAGTGTCTTTTTCCATCCCTTCACTTTCAGTTTGTGAATGTCTTTAGGTCTGAAGTGTGCCTCTATATGCAGCATGTATATGGGTCTTGTTTTAGCCAATCAGCAACCCTACGTCTTTTGATTCCAGTCCATTTAGTCCATTGATTTTTAAAGTAGCTATTGATAGGTATGTACTTATTGCAATTTTGTTACCTTTTTTTCTGGGTGTTTTAGTAGTTCTTCTCTGTTCCTTTCTTCTTCTCTTGCTCTCTTTCCTTGTGGTTTGATAGCTTTCTTTGGTATTTTGTTTGGGTTCCTTTCTCTTAATTTTCTGTGTATTTATTATAGGTTTCTGATTTGTGATTGCCATGAGGTTCATATATAATATAATAATCTATGTAAATAGCAATCTATATTAAGTTGATGATCTCTTAAATTTGACCTTTTGCTAAAACCTCTACTCTTTTACTCCCCTCCTCCCACATTTTCTGTTTTTTTAATATCATATTTAACCTTGTGTGTGGTGTGTGTATCCGTTAACCTCTTATCATGGAAATGGATAATTTTAGTACTTTTGTCTGTTGACTTTCATATTAACTTCACAGGTTGTTGGTCTGCTACCTGTACTGTATATTTGCCTTTACCAGTGATTTTATTTTATTTTTTTGATAGTTTTCTTATTCCTGTTTGTAGTCTTTTCTTTTCCACTTAAATATGTCCCTTTAACATTTCTTGCAAGGCTGGTTTATTGGTGTTAAACTCCTTTAGTTTTTGCTTATCTGGAAAACTCTTTATCTCTCCTTATGTCCTGAATGATAACCTGGTGAGGTAGAGTATTTTTGGCTGTAGGTTTTTCCTTTCAGCACTTTACATATATTACACCACTCCCTTGTAGCCTGTAAGGTTTCTGCTGAGAAGCCAGCTGATAGCCTTATGGGGTTTCCTTTGTATGTAACTTGTTGCCTTTCTCTTGCAGGTTTTAGGATTCTCTCTTTATCTTTAAATCTGGACATTTTAATTATAATGTGTCTTGGTGTGGATCTCTTTGGGTTCATCTTGTTTGGCGCTCTCTGTGCTTCCTGTACCTAGATGTCTGTTTCCTTCCTTAGGTTAGGAAAGTTTTCAGCTATTATTTCCTCAAATAGATTTTCTGTCCTTTTGTCTCTTTCTTCTCCTTCTGGGACAACCATAACACAGATGTTAGTGTGCTTGATGTTGTCCCAGAGGTCCTTTAGACTGTCCTCATTCTTTTTTCTTTGCAGCTTGGATGATTTCCTCTAGTCTTTCATCCAGCTCACTGATCCATTTTTCTGTATCAACTACTCTGCTTTTGATTCCCTCTAGTGAATTTTTCCTTTCCATTTTACTGTATTCTTTAGTTCTGATTGGTTCTTTTTTATATTTTCTAATTCTTTTTTGGAAGTTCTCACTGTATTCATCTATTGTTCTGCCAAGATCAGTGAGCATCCTTATGGCTATTAATTTGTATTCTTTATCAGATAGATTGTTTATCTCTTTTTCATTTAGTTCTTTTTAGGAGGATTTGTCCTGTTCCCTTATTTGGAACATATTCCTTTGTCTCCTCATTTTGCCTATTTTTCTGTGCTTATATCTCTGTGTTAGGTAGATCAGCTATGTCTTCTGATCTTGAAGAGGTGGCCTTATGTAAGAGATGCCTTATGAGGCCCAGCAATGTGCTTCCATCTCATCACAAGGTCAAAATGTTCCACAAGTGTCCTCTGTGTGGGCTACATGAATCCTTCTGTTGTGGCAGGGTTGCTCTTACTGCAGGTGCGTGGGGAGGCTAGGCTGTCCCCTTGGCCAGCTAGTTGTAA